GGTTCGTGTCCCCGCGGGCGGCCGGGTCCCGGTCCCCCCCGCTGCAGCCTCAGAGCCCCGGGTTGTTCCCCAAATGTCTGCAGCGGAGTCTGGGCCGAGGCCTCGTGGCGCAGTCTCGTGCCGGCCCGTGAGACACCTCTGAGATGCTTCTATATCTTTCTCTTACTCGGTTAGTTACATTTGCCTTCAACTCATAATTACCTTTGAAAAGCCCGAAGCAGCGTTTCCTTTTCACAAATAAGTTATCTCCCAGCAGGTCAGAACTGGAAAATAGCCGGGTCCCCAGAGGACTGTCCGGCAGCTGGGGAAGAACTGGGACCTGGGGGTGAAGGCGACCGGAGGCTTCGCACTGCTTTTCTCAGTCCAAATAGGCGCAAAAGGGGCTTTTACGTATTTTGAGGTGGCGGGAGTATTTTGAGGTGGCGGGACGGTGCTTGGAGCAGGTCCTTGCCTAGAGCGCGGATGTGTATGTATTACATTACCTCCCATCAGTGTTTCAGGAATATATATTTTTAAAATGTTGTTTATGATATTACAACTTAGGCTTTGCAATATTTAGTTGAAATAGTTGTTTTCTTAGTTTCACCTGCTTAACCTAGCAGGTAGGTTGTCAAGTCAATGATGGGTTTTAGTCCGTTGCGTTGAGGGACAGCAGGTGTTGTGAAACTTGTTGGGTGACCAGCATCAAGAGATGGTAGTTAGCAACAAAGTCTGAAGAGTCAGAGTTTATGTATACTGATACCATTTTGTTGTAAAAATGTTTCCCTTTGGAAAAATGCTGCTGTTGTAAAAATGCTTCCCTTTGGAAAAATGCTGCTGTTGTAAAAATATTTGGAAAAACTTGGGGAAAAAAGTGGAAACTTTTATTTTTCCAGCTCTTTCTTTCTGTTTTACTTCATTGTGTCAACTGTGTATAAATGACTGTCTGTGCTAAATGGCAAGTCATTGTACAGTATGGCATGAACAGGGCAGCAATAACGTACATGTTTACTATATCGTGAGATGGTAGTTGGATATTGTGTCTCTGCTGTTAGCAGAGGTGGAACGCGCCTCTAGAGGGCTTGGGCGTTAATAAAATTTCTTCTCTTGATCTTTTTTAGCCATCATGAAGACTCCAGTGTTTCGTCAGCGTTGGGCCACATGTGCCACATGCAGAGCAACACCGCCTGGTAGCATCTTGCTGAGCAACACCGCCTGGTAACATCTTGCTGCCTTTGGACCTGAGGCCTCGTCTCATCCCGTTGACATAAGCAGGGTCTGTTATCCTCCCCGTTTTACCAGTGGGGGAATTGAAGCATAAAAATAAAGGATTTTCCAAAAAATGTGCCAGAAACCTTCACTGGAATGGAGTTTCCCACGTGCGGATACCTTCCTCCCAAGGCAAAGACATTATTTTTAGGATGGTCCTTTCCTGAGACCAGCTCCCTTTGTGCAGCCCGGGAGAGACGACATTGCATTGATCATATCTGGATATCTACACGTCTTTCAGAAGTCTCGTGTTCTTCAGAAATGACTGCTCTGTCTGCCACTCCATACACCAGGTTAATAATTCTCAGATGGTAAGTGCATTTCTCAGTGCTGAAGCTGTGTACGTGCAAGACGAGAGTAATCGAGAGTCATTTTCCATATGCTAAGCCATAGAATGAGAGTAATCGAGAGTAAAGCACATACTTGATGTCATTTTCCATATGCTAAGCCATAGAATGATTTTTTTTAAATTCATTTGGGTTTTGATCAATTTAACTTCAAGAACGCTTTACTTTAGGTGAGGCTATGAGTGCACGATAAAAGCAGTAGCATCTCTACCATTGTGTTGTGCGCAGGTTTCAGTGAGGATTAAAATAAAAATGTGTTTCTCCTTTATTTCCCATAGCTGAACTCAGGAAGTGGCCTTCGAGCAGATTTGCACTGTTCTAAGTGTGTTAATTGGGGTGCAAACTTTGTGCAGAAACATTTATCGCTGAGTCACCTGACATTTCATGGACCTTTGCTTAGTGCTCGTAATTCACCATCATTTTTCCCCTCTATTGCTATGCTTATTAAAACCCTCCAGCTTGGAACTCTGTAGGTCTGAGTATTTGGTTTATTTGGCCAGGAATTCATTGCACATTTGATGAAAAGCAATATTTTTCTCTGGTTTGCTTGCCTTGCAAACAGAATTTCTCTCATCGTAGGCGATGGTGCTGAAACATCAGTCTGGTTAAGCTGTTGTGGCGCTGCTGAGGGTAGTGTTAAACTACTGTCACTTTTTTCCCACGTGAAAACCTGCGTGTGACAGCCCACATGTATTTGGTCAGTGAAGTTTGTCTTGCTTTGGCACCTTCCTGCTGCTTTTTCGCACCTTTCTAATTTGCTCGAATTTACTCACCGTTGATGCAGTTAACAATATTTATAAAGTGTCTTTTTGTTGGAGCAGTCCTTCTAGCTGATTTTTGTGCTAGCCACAAGAAGTTTGCCCTGGTGCAAGGCCAGTCCCTCATCACTTGTGTGCTGGTGTTTAACGCCAGGAAGGCAGGTAAGAACCGGAGCCCTGTGTCCCTCCTTGACCCTGCTGCTGTGTTCAGGCACTGCCACAAGGGTTGTCCCTGAGCCGCTCTGTCCTCTCCAAAGCACTACCGTGCAATGAGTAAATTTGGGCTCACAAAGGGAACTGCCAAGTCCCAGATGTGCTTTTGACTTGGCTGCCTTCAAAAGCCTCATGGGCTTTTTGCTGATGGGCATCTTCGTGTTTCTTGGCATAGGGAGAGGTGGATGAGAAGTCCCCATGGGGCTGGGGCGGCTCTTCTGTGCCCCTCAGAGCAGGAGTCTGGCATGGACCATGTGTCCAACAGGACTTTTGTAGCCTGCTTGAGCAGCAGTTTCTTGGTTGTTCCTCTCCATCTTCCTTGTGCAAGGGCCTGTCGTCTGTGTGGTAAACCAAATCAGGGAAGCAAGGTGGCTGAAAAAGAAGTTAGAAGCCAGTGGTCCCTAGAGTTTGGTAATGTGAATAATCCCCTTGCCTAAAAATGAGGAACTGAGGAAGGAGGTGTGATGTTGGTGAGGCTGTGCATATAGAATAGTGTTATTGTTACACTATCCTTAGAATAACATTTCTTGAACCACATTCAGGATATAACTAACACACTTTAAAATATGTTTGGAGAAGAGCAGAGCAAGTGATAGATTTAATTCTCTGTGGCCTGTAGTACTGGAGACTGAGGAGAGAAAGGTTTGGGCATTGTCACAAGAAATAGCTTTAAATAACCTGTTTTAAGGAACCAGTTCTTCCCAAAACCAGTTGTTTAGCAGCACTGTGTGTTATTCCACTGTCTTTGAGACATCATGCCTAGAAGAAAATGCAATTTAATAGAACAATTTCTGGTTTTGCATTGTGGAAATGCCTACAGTGCAAATAAGAGTTTTCC